CACCCCCCCACCCCCACCCCCAAAAAAAAAGACATGATTGTCTTTAGCATGCAATTATGAGAATATGAGGAGTCAAATGTACCTTCTCTTTAGCTCGAGCTGTGCCTGACTGTGACAACGCAACCAATGGCGGCACGGCACCTTCTTGAAGAACATGACTACAAAATCTACTACTATTTGTACACAGTTGAAGCAATGCTGCAGCAGCATTTTCTTTCCCTCTTGCAGATCCCAATTCCACTACTTCCACAAGCACTGGGATCCCACCTTGTTGACCAATTGCAGCCCTTCCTTCTGGGATAGTGGCAAGGTTTGCCAAAACAGCCACAGCTTTGTCAACCATACCAGCAGCCGGGTCCATCAGCTCTACCAAGTGTCTTACTGCCCCAGCCTGAACGATCCGTGCCTTGTTCTCATGAAATATGGATAAATTAAACAATGCTGTTGCTGCATCTTTCTTACCTCGAGGAGTCCCATTTCCCAACAGTTCCACCAGAGGTTGGATGGCACGAGATCGTCCAATTCTGACCTTGTTTTCTTCGATAACAGAAAGGCTGAAGAGGGTAGCAGCTGCATTTTCTTTTGCCTCGGGGTTCCCTGTTTCAAGCACATGAATAAGGGGATCAATTGCATCAGCATTCGCAATGGCGGACTTGTTGTTGTCGTTGATTGATAGATTCAGAAGGGCTGTTACAGCATTCTCCTGGGTCTTTAGATCTGTTGAATGAAGCAATTCAACCAAAAGACTTATAGCTCCACAATTTGCAATCACAATTCTATTCTCCATGTTATGTTTAGCAAGAAGACGAAGCTCTCCCGTGGCAGCTCTCTGTATGTCTACTGAATCGCCTTTTAAATCTTCAATCAATTTGCGGACTTCTTTCTCGACACCTGAAAGGTCAGGTCTTGACTCCATGGATGGCGCAGAAATGATCTTTGGGATAAACATTTCAGATGGACGACGCCAAATGCTTTGGCTTCTGGATCTGGGCTCAGCCAACCTTAGTGGGAATTCTGGTTCTCTTGGAGGAGCAGAGAATGCTGGAGCTTCTTGTGAAACTTCTCCTGAAGCATCGCTGCTGTAATGACTCAGATCACTAGGAACACGAGAAACCATGTTCGCATTTCCTCCTTGGACATAACCATTATTTGACACAGCACTGGAGGCAGAGGCACTTCTACTATGGCCTTGAAACTGCTCGTCAACTTTTGGCGCTTGAGAATTGTCCAGCGTTAATTGGTCATAAGTTTGGCTACCAGAGCCAACATGTCGCTCTTCCAAGGAAGATTCCTTCATTCCATCAGAATTAACAAGAGATTTTTTCACTATGTTTTCCTCGCCCCCATTTGCAATGTGCAAAGGTGATCCCGAAGAGACAGGATAACGAGGGGATGTTGGTCTGTCATGCAGATAACCATCTTGATGGACACCATTTGAAGAAGTTGAATCCTTAATTGACATGTCCGGTGATCTTGGACGGTTAACCATTGAAGACTGACTTGAATGGTTGGTGCTACCATTTGTAGTTGAGTCTGACAAGCCGTAAAAAACTGATGGCATGTTCAAATTCATGGACTTTATGGGGTCAGGCAGTTTAATATCATTTGATTCGCACCAATTTGCTATCAGTGCCTTGACAGTATAGTTTGGAATTAAATTAGTGTGGCTAAGTGTTTGGCGTGTCTTGGGACAGACATTGAATCCTTGATCAAGCCATTGCTTAATGAAAGCTCTCTCATATGTTTGGCCAGACGCCACAATCACCGGGTCAGACATCAATTCGAGNTGCTGTGCAGCTGCTTCATTTTAACATGACAATCATGCATATAATTGATGAGAGCAACCATTTGATTAATGCCCTCAATTTCCGCATGGTTTTCACTACGACCAACTTTTGCTTTAAGCTTGTCGAGGGCGACAGCCTCCATTAGCAATTCTCGATTGGACAATAAGCTCAGAGATTTTGAAATCTTTTCCAGATGCTCAGATCTGGGAACAAGTTTGTCCACCCGCGCTCTTATGGCCTCCTTCATGGCATATGATGTTTGATCATAATGAGTTTGCTGAATTTTCTGCATGCAGTTCTGGAAAGATTGCACAAAACTATAAGAACAAGGAAAACAAAAAGAAATCCAACCAACTGATGATAAAGGAAATATAAATGAAACTATAAGCAATATTCATGTTGTTCCCATCACCTTGGCACATGTTGAAGAAGAGTTATCTGCAAGAGCAATCAACCGACAAGTTTCAGCGGCAACTGTCTGCAACTTCGTTATTGCTAAATCAATTTGTATAACCTGGGAAATGTTTTTTAAATTTCACTCAGTAACACATGATATGCAGGTTTTTTGTGTATTCGACAACTAGAAAATTCAGTACGGATCCATGGATGCAAACAAGTAACATTAGCATAACATGTGCATTATATATATAAGGGACTAAAGTTAACAGGACAAAAACAAAGAACTATAGTGATAAGCTTCTCCGAAGAAGTAACATTAGCATCACAAATGCATTATATATACAAAAGTAACTCATACAGCAAACAGAAAAAGAAAAACATAATTACAGTGTGTGCGTGCAGGGTGCACGC